ATAGGTACGAGGATATAAAAACTTGAAAATTACAGATGTTTTGTTCAGCAATTCTGGTGAGGTGGGTATGATTTGGGCATCTTTGTTTCCTATTTTTATTCTACGATTTATACTGCTCTCTTTTAGTTCTTTTGATATCGATAAGCTTTTTAAATTTATGGGAATTTTTTAAATAAATGATGATCTCGATTGTTTGTTAGTTTCATGACATTTGATGTTTCAAATAGGATCATAATGACAGATTTAATTTAAAGAATGCTCAATTTTTGCAAGTTGAAAATGCATTGGACCTTTTTTGTTATTTCCCTAGGAATTCTATTGATCACTTTTGGCATTGCTCTCTATCGTGGAACTTTCTACATTTATGAATTTTTTTGCTTTCATGCAAATTCATGATTTAAACTAATACTTTTAGTAATTGTAAATTAATATCAAATAAATATACATATAATCAACATCAAATTATTTTATTAATTTAAACTTATCAATTATCTAATAAATTAACATAATTGAAACTATGAGATTTATATAGGTACGAGGATATAAAAGCTTGAAAATTACAGATGTTTTGTTCAGCAATTCTGGCGAGGTGGGTATGATTTGGGCATCTTTGTTTCCTATTTTTATTCTAGGATTTATACTGCTCTCTTTTAGTTCTTCTGATATCGATGAGCTTTTTAAATTTATGGGAATTTTTTAAATAAATGATGATCTCGATTGTTTGTTAGTTTCATGACATTTGATGTTTCAAATAGGATCATAATGACAGATTTAATTTAAAGAATGCTCAATTTTTGCAAGTTGAAAATGCATTGGACCTTTTTTGTTATTTCCCTAGGAATTCTATTGATCACTTTTGGCATTGCTCTCTATCGTGGAACTTTCTACATTTATGAATTTTTTTTGCTTTCATGAAAATTCATGATTTAAACTAATACTTTTAGTAATTGTAAATTAATATCAAATAAATATACATATAATCAACATCAAATTATTTTATTAATTTAAACTTATCAATTATCTAATAAATTAACATTTATTAATACTAATAAAACTAATATTTATAAAATATTAATAAATTAGATTTAACTAAATTATAAATAATGTACTTTAGTAAATACTAATTTGTTAGTTTAAAATTGAATATTATTATTGAAATTATTAGTTCAAATTAATTATTCATTTATTAATATTCATGTTACTAAATTATTAGTTTATTAGTATTAATCGTATAAAATTATTATGTTATTAGTACTATTAGTTTTGTTTAAATTAGTTAGTTCAATAAATTTTAATTGTTAGTTTTTTATTAAATATCATATCTAATGAACAATACTTCAATTGTTCACGCGCAACGAACTTGCACTATTATATACATTGAAAAATAAAACTTAAGATATGAACTTTTAAATAAAAGTAAATGTTAAAGAGAAATAATTATCTATCTATTATCATCTTAGCGTGAAATTAAAGTATAAAAATAATAAGCTATGATTCATGAATGCGACACATAACTAGAGGGGGAAGGGGTGTGGAACCATAGTTTAATATTTTATTTTTGCTAGAGCTTCAATTGACGAGGCACTGTTTGGATCTTTATATTATGAGCTTTTGTTGCAACGTTGAGTGTGGTATATTAACTGGGTTCATGTGTGTGGCATGGTAGGTTCACCATTGAGTAGGTTGAAATTATATTATATTAAAATATAGATAATTTTACTAATTATATTATCCTATATATTCATTATATCATAAGCAAAGAACTATGTTCAATAATATAGTGTAATATTATATACTCAATAATTGGGATATACTCAATAATTGGGGGGTTATGTTTGGGGCGTAGTATGAGTTGGGTGAAAATTTTTTATTATAAAAATATAATTTTTATTCAATAAAACACTCATCTATATCCTCCTCGCGTTCCTAAACTCTTAATTAATTATCAATCAATTTTATATTTAATCACTCACACACAACTTCAATGTTTTTTAATTCTATTCATTAATCTCAATCAATTTTCAATCAATTTCCCCACTCTCTTTTAATGCGGATGTTACATGATTTTACCATCATCAATGCCCTCCCTCAATTTCTCATTTCATAACCTCCAATTAAATTCACCATGAATTAAATTAATTCAAATTCATGTCATAACCATCCTATTAATTATACATGCATGTGAAATTCTAATTTTTATAACCCCTCCACTAAACCTTCATTAATCCCATTTGTCCATTCATATCTCAAATCATAACTCCCTACTTTTTGTATAATCTATCATTTTCTAGATCTCACATTCATTCTCTACATAACCAATCATTACCATTATTTATCAAGGTTTGTGAAAATCATAAAAATTTTAGTTAAATTCTCGCTTTTTCATGCAACATAACCTCTTGCATCTCTTTTGTAGATCACTTGGGCTCTGCTTGATAAATATGTTGTTTTATTTTTGTTAAATTACTTGCCCCACCAATGATCCGATTAGCCCCACAGGAACATGAGAACAAGAACAAACAATCCTCTCTTATATTTGTCAAACTAAGATGCATCTAATGAATCCATGAATGGTGCTCAAATCGAGCTCCCTTTGTTTGTTTATGTCAAACTTAAACTGGATATGATTCTGCCATAGTAAGTGGACATATAATTAAATAATTTCATTTACCTCATTTATTTTGTTGTCTTCTTATGTTTTTGAAGACTTTGTCTATTAGATTTCATTATAATTTTAATTTTCTTCTTGGCATAGTCTGCTTTGGTATGTTTGTGATTCTGCTATATGATACATCTACAATATCCTGGTTTTTCATATGCCAAATGAGTGTTCTTTATGATCATATTTATAACCCTATAACGTCTATTTATATCATCAATCAATAAAAGTCAAATATCTTTTCTGAGAACAAGCATAAATTGCCAATTAAAAGACATTCAATCAAAACCTAATATATATTATCTATAACATCCTTCAAATAAATGTCACATACAAAAAAATTTATCAATGCAATAAAAACTTAGCGGCCACATATAAATATGAAAGTGGTTAAACGTGCATCGCACGTGCACCATACTAGTAAATAAAAAATCACAAACACTAGACAAACAGTATTAGTCGTAAATTGTTTGTTAAACATCATCAAAACAAGAAGGCCAATAGGGGGTTAGAGGGTAAGGGGAGGGAATAGTAAATATACAATTATAAAAGGTTTGTGGGGTATATTGGTAACTTTGAAGATGTAGGGGGCAAATATGCAGTTATGGAAGATCGGTGTTATAATGGCCAAATAACCCTTGGTAAATTTAACAAGAAAATAGTCTTTTTTTTAGGGAAAAATGTGTCCAGGCCCCAAAAGTGGGAACTTCGTGTGACTAGTCCCCCTGTACTTTGCCCCATGTGGAATAGCCCCAAAAATGGGCTTTAATGTTTTAAGCCCCCTCCACGTCAGCTTTATACTAAAAGCAGATGGTATTTTACAAAAAAACCAAAACTGCCCTTCTCTTTCTTCCCCAGACGAGTCCTGGAAGTCACTTCTCATTAATGCGATATGACGGGGAAAATGGAGGGAAATTTCCCCCCTTTTTTTACTCCATCTAACTAGTTAGTTCTCCATTACTCCTCCTCCTCAGACCAAAATTCTCTCCATAACTCTCTCCATCAGGAGCAATAACTAGTTAGTTCTCCATTACTCCTCCTGCTCAGATCAAAATGGCTGAAAAGGACATCATCTGCATTGTCTCTTCACAGTATAAAGCGGTATTCTTGAATATTAATTCTTCAACCACCATCTTGGATCTCAAGTTTGATGCGGCAGAGAGGTTAGATCTTCCATACGAGTCATTAATTTTGGCATACGAAGATCAAACAGTTGGAAGCTTAAAATTTCTCATTGAGAACGATGGTGATCTGACGTCTATGGTGGAGCATTGCCACAATCTTGGACTGAAAGAGGTTCACGTGCAAGCTTTTAAAGAAGGAGATGATTCTTCGAATAAACAGGAAAACGAGCAAGTCCGACAAGACATGTAGGTTAACTGTAAAATCAATTAACTTAAGTTCTAATCGTCTTCTTGTTAGTTCTATACTAGGTTTAACTGAACTTCAGTTCTAATGTTTTATTTGTCATTAAGCAGTTCTTTGTTATGCTCCATACTAGAGTTCTAATGTTTTATTTGTCAGTTCTAATCGCTATTTTGTTAGTTCTACTAGAGTTATTGCTGGTTCCACTATAGTTCCCATATTGTTAGTCCTAATTGTTATAAATTAGATATAACGTGGTATAAATTAACGTGGTATAAATTAGACAATGTAGGTATAAAATAGAACTAACAAGCCATCAGTTAGAACTGACACTAACACACTACAGATTAGAACTAACACTGTGCATATTATTAGAACTAACACGCTACCGAATAGAACTAACACTGTAGGGGATTAGAACTAACACTCTACAGAATAGAACTAACACTGTGCAGATTATTAGAACTAACACGCTACAGAATAGAACTTATACTGTGCAGATTAGAACTAACACTCTACAGAATAGAACTAACACTGTGCAGATTAGAACTAACACTGTGCAGATTAGAACTAACACTCTACAGAATAGAACTAACACTGTGCAGATTAGAACTAACACTCTATAGAATAGAACTAACATGTTATAATTTTGAAATAGCTTGTTATAAAATAGAAATAACTTCGTTAAATTAGAACTAACCTTTAATGGTTATATTGTTTGTTCTAATAGCTATTATGTCAGTTCTAATCAATGCACTGTTAGCTCTAATGGTTATATTGTTAGTTCTTTTAGTTCTAATTGATTCTAACAGCAAGCAATTGTCGTTTTTGCTTTTTAGCTTTTGCTATTATCTGTTGATACTTCTATTATTTGTGCAGTTTGAAATCAAAAAGTGTAGACTGTGGCCCGTCGGCGTTGTTGACCACAAGTGTTCCAGATAATAATCCCAATGACAATCCTTCCGGAGATGATGTCATGACGATTGATGACATGATTCGCAGATCAGAGAGGATTCCTGCTTGGTGGCACACAGCTTTAACCGGTGAGGGACAACGATTTGAAAGTGCGAAGGAGTTAAGATTGGCCTTGCTATACTACTCCACGGTAAAAAAATTTGAATACGAGTTTGGGAAGAATGAACCGAAGCGTATTCGAGTGTTTTGTCGGTTTAAGGCAGCAAAAAATTGTCCGTGGATGTTATTTGCCTCTCCACCGAAAAATGATAATAGACTTGAAATCAAAAGGTTTGTGGACAATCACAGTTGTAGGCAGCATGGCAATAATGCTGGTCAATCTAGAGTCTCAAGGCGATTCATTGCTACCCAATTACAACCCACATTAAAGGTTCGACCGGATATACAGCCTATTGACGTTCAAAAGGAGTTTCTAAGCTCGTATGGGATTAGGGTCGATTATAGTAAGATTTGGTGGGGTAAAGAAAGAGCACAAGAGAAATTATATGGTGATGCCCATGAGTCCTACGATCAATTACGATGGTAAATAGAAGATGATATCTAACAAAAGACAAACTAATTTTCTTTATGTGACGTTGATTATACTAATTTTTCAATGTTGGTACTAACGCTTAATCTTCAATTTTCTAGGTATGTAGAAGAGGTCAAGAAGACAAACCCAGGTAGCTATATTCATGTTGAACAAAATGAGGGGAGGTTTACAAGGTTATTCATATGCTACGCCGCCTGCATAAATGGTTTTTTATACGGCTGTAGACCACTCTTATTTTTGGATGGTACCTTTCTTAAAGATCGATTCAAAGGCATACTCCTAAGCGCCGTAGCATATGATGGAAATCAGGGGATATTTCCATTGGCGTATTGTATATGCGATCAGGAAAATAATGTTAACTGGAAGTGGTTCTTACAAGGTTAGTTCTATCCCTAGCCATGTTAGTTCTGTTGCAGGTTATGATAATTCTAGCTCATTCATTGCTAACTCTAATTCGTGTATGGTAACCACAACTCTTTGTAGGTTTGTGGTCTATTCTCTATGAAAGGCCAGATCCATACAACCCTCCACACAAGCTAGTGATAATTTCAGATGCGGATAAGGGGATCAGAGAAGCAGTTAGAGAATTTTTTCCAGATTCTATACACTCTCGATGTGTGTTGCATCTAGTTGAGAACTTCAGGACAAAGTTGAAGGATTTGGGATTCAAATCAAAAGATACTCAGATCTTGGGTAATCTATTGCAATCTGCCTGTTATAAATATACTAGAGCAGAATGGAACGATTACATAGACGACATTAGACTGGTTGACGAAAGAGTTTACAATATTGTGATGAACTACGCTCCAGAGAACTGGGCCAATGCGTTTTTCCCTGGAGTTAAGTAAGTTATAAGCTATTTCATTACATGACTATTATAAGCCGCTTGACGAATTCCCTATTATGTTTCAGATATGGTCACGTTACATCAATGTTGCAGAGTCATTTAACAAATGGATACATGAGGCTAGGCTACTACGGATACTTCAACTGATAGAGCACATACGTAAACAGATTATGGTTCGTATGAATGAGCGACGAACCATGGCTGAAAGCTGGAATCAATTTCTTTGCCCCAAAGCTGAACTTGCTCTCAAAGAGAACATGGAAAATGGCCGTCCATTGGAGGTTCGTCAGTCCCACACAGGATTATTTGAGGTACAATCCCATAGATCTTGTCAAGTGGATCTAGACAATAAAACATGCACTTGCCGTGGGTGGGATGTAACCCGTGTCCCTTGCAAACATGCATGCGCATCCATTATGTTTATGAAAAGGGATGTCTACCAGTTCTGTGACTGGTTTATGACGGTTGAAGCCTTTAAAAAAAGCTACGAGCCAATCCTCTACCCTATCCCTGACTTTGAGAAGCGCATCGTGCCAAGGGATGAGATACAGATCCTACCTCCACTTACAACAAAAAGGAAAGGGAGAAATAAAACTAGGCGTATCAACAACAGAACTGTTTACACGCGGCCAGTAAAATGTTCTCGATGTCATATGGAAGGTCATAACCGTAAAACATGTAATGAATCTATAGCTGACTAAGTGTTTGATATGTTGAAGTGGTTTCGTCCCAGTATGCAATAAATATTTTTTTTTTTTCCGATTGAATGTTTATTCTTATTAATCGGGAACAAACATCAGCTTCCACTAGATAAAAAGTTGTAAGTAACAAAACAACTATCATATTAGGCCTAACGCGCACAAAGAATAGAACTAACATCTTAGTTATTCAATGCACTTGAATAACTAGGAGTAACAAGCCAAAGAATAGAACTAACTTGGTATCAGATAGTACTAACATGTAATGAAGCAGAACTGACTTGGATCGGAACAGGTTACAGAATAGAACTAACACTGTGAAGATTAGAACTAACACGCTACAGAATAGAACTAACACTGTGAAGATTAGAACTAACACGCTACAAAATAGAACTAACACTGTGCAAATTAGAACTAACACTCTACAGAATAGAACTAACACTGTGCAGAATAGAACTAGCACCCTACAGATTAGAACTAACATTGTGCAGATTAGAACTAACACTCTACAGAACAGAACTAACACTGTAGAGATTAGAACTAACACTCTACAGAATAGAACTAACACTCTACAGAATAGAACTAACACTCTACAGAACAGAACTAACTTGCTATAAATTAGAACTAACTTGGTATAAAATGAGAACAAACTTTGTTTAAATTAGAACTATCTTTGTATAAATTAGATCTAACGTTGTATAAAATAGAACTAACTTGGTATAAATTAGATCTAACGTGGTATAAATTAGGTTTATAACGTAGTAAAAAATAGAACTAACTTGGTATAAATTAGAGCTAACGTGGTATAAATTAGGTTTATAACGTGGTATAAAATAGAACTAACTTGGTATAAATTAGAAATAACTTGGTATAAAATGAGATATAACGTGGTATAAATTAGGTTTATAACTTGGCATAAAATAGAACTAACATAAATTAGATATAACGTGGTATAAATTAGATATAACGTGTAATAAAATAGAACTAACAAGCCATCACAAGCTACAGATTAGAACGAACACTGTGCAGAATAGAACTAACACTCTACAGATTAGAACTAACACTGTGCAGATTAGAACTAACACTCTACAGAACAGAACTAACACTGTGCAGATTAGAACTAACACTCTACAGAATAGAACTAACACTGTGCAGATTAGAACTAACACTCTACAGAACAGAAATAACTTGGTATAAATTAGAACTAACTTGGTATAAAATGAGAACAAACTTGGTATAAAATAGAACTAACTTTGTATAAATTAGATCTAACATTGTATAAAATAGAACTAACTTGGTATAAATTAGGTTTATAACGTTGTAAAAAATAGAACTATCTTGGTATAAATTAGAGCTAACGTGGTATAAATTAGATATAACGTGGTATAAATTAGGTTTATAACGTGATATAAAATAGAACTAACTTGGTATAAATTAGTAAATTAGATCTAACGTGGTATAAATGAGATATAACGTGGTATAAATTAGGTTTATAACTTGGTATAAAATAAAACTAACACAAATTAGATATAACGTGGTATAAATTAGATATAACGTGTAATAAAATAGAACTAACAAGCCATCACACGCTACAGACTTGAACTAACACTGTGCAGAATAGAACTAACACTGTGCAGATTAGAACTAACACTCTACAGAATAGAACTAACACTGTGCAGATTAGAACTAACACTCTACAGAATAGAACTAACACTGTGCAGATTAGAACTAACACTCTACAGAATAGAACTAACACTGTGCAGATTAGAACTAACACTCTACAGAATAGAACTAACACTGTGCAGATTAGAACTAACACTCTACAGAACATAACTAACACTGTGGAGATTAGAACTAACACTCTACAGAATAGAACTAACACTGTGCAGATTAGAACTAACACTCTACAGAACATAACTAACACTGTGGAGATTAGAACTAACACTCTACAGAATAGAACTAATGTTCTACATAATAGAACTAACACTGTGCAGAACAGAACTAACTTGCTATAAATTAGAACTAACTTGATATAAAATGAGAACAAACTTTGTTTAAATTAGAACTATCTTTGTATAAATTAGATCTAACGTTGTATAAAATAGAACTAACTTGGTATAAATTAGATCTAACGTGGTATAAATTAGGTTTATAACGTAGTAAAAAATAGAACTAACTTGGTATAAATTAGAGCTAACGTGGTATAAATTAGGTTTATAACGTGGTATAAATTAGGTTTATAACGTGGTATAAATTAGGTTTATAACGTGGTATAAAATAGAACTAACTTGGTATAAATTAGAAATAACTTGGTATAAAATGAGATATAACGTGGTATAAATTAGGTTTATAACTTGGCATAAAATAGAACTAACATAAATTAGATATAACGTGGTATAAATTAGATATAACGTGTAATAAAATAGAACTAACAAGCCATCACAAGCTACAGATTAGAACTAACACTCTACAGATTAGAACTAACACTGTGCAGATTAGAACTAACACTGTGCAGATTAGAACTAACACTCTACAGAACAGAACTAACACTGTGGAGATTAGAACTAACACTCTACAGATTAGAACTAATACTATACAGATTAGAACTAACACTCTACATAATAGAACTAACACTATGCAGATTAGAACTAACACTCTACAGAATAGATCTAACATGTTATAATATATAACTAAAAGGGTGCAATTAGAACTAACACTCTACAGAATAGATCTAACATGTTATAATATATAACTAAAAGGGTGCAGATTGGAACTAACACAACATTTGTAACTAAAAGGGTGCAGATTGGAACTAACACAACATTTGTAACAAACTGTTTGGTGGATAAGCAAAATTTAATAAGAAAAAACACGCAATGATGCCAGGTCTTCATTTGTTGCTGCCCTCGCTGGATCGGTTTGGGTATAATAAACCCTTTTCGCTGTCACTCGCCTTCCTTTTCGAAGGTCCTGGCTTACTGCGCTTTGAGGAAGGAGAACTGGATCCCGCTGAGCCACTGTGGGAGACGACGGGGTTTAAAGGGAGAGGAACATTGCCGGTAGGGAGAGCCCTTGGAGAATTGGCACCCCCGACCCCTTGGTTACGGAGAAACAGCTGCCATTGGTCTCTCTCGACCGTCATGTGGACGCCACCCCAACTAACCTCAATTAACTCGGGGTCGGCCCTAAAGGGCTGCGCACGCTGGGGCCCTAAGTTGAGTCGTGTGGATCCCTGAGCCCTCTCCAAATCCCCCCCGCTTTGGACCTGCGTGATGGCGTATCCTTCCCTGGCGTTACCGTCCACCGGCGAGATGTAACGGAACCCAAGCCTCTTAGGGATTTCAGATAAATCCCTAACCTTGAGTAGAACTCTACAGTCTTTGAAGTTAGAATGTGTTATGACGTCCCTGGAGCACATGACACATTCACCGATACCAATGAGCAGAGATTGAAGAAATTCAAAATTCCAGAGGTGGTATGGGAGATTGAATAGGCGAATCCATACTAGAAAGGGTTGAGGCAACGTTGTTAGCCTCAGATCCTCTTTCCAACGGTGGAATCTGCCCTTAAATGTGCCCATATCTATCAAACTGAGTTCAATAGCTTGGGCAAGAACTTCATCGGATGGAAACTGCACCATGAAGTTGTTCCCTGCCGCCTCCTTGATTTGATGGGGCCATGTCCTAAGATTAAAGCGGTAGGCCAGCATCTCTCGGAGCTCCTGCACCGATGGATGGCCTCTATCAAGATTGAAGATGGCGAAAGCAGAAAGATGCCGTATGGTGCTGGAGGTGTTGGCCGGGACGGTAAGCATCCTCGGAGGGGCACTTGCGGTAATTCCATGATGACAATCTTGAGTGATGTGTCCTGTCCCATGGCAGTGTACACAAGAAGGATCCCCAGCCATTTGTGAGGGTATACGATGAAAATAGATGACGCTGTGTTGTGGTTTTTAGCAGGGGGATGGGTTTGCAGAGGCGCCTACGCTGGGGCCAGTAGAAGAAAGGTGGTGATCGTACCTATCGATGGAAGTTCGTATTAGATATTTAAGTTAATTAATTTATTTAACTGACTTGGGAACACACGAATATATGATGTGACATGTTTGTGTGATGGAACCGTCGCTTCGAAAGAAGTGAGCAGTTGGAGGTCTGAAGATAACTTAAATAATTAAAAATTAGAATTGGCTCTGAGATAGAACTAACGAGCATGGTACAGAATAGAACTAACGTTGAATGAGTTAGAACTAACGAGCATCACTAGAACGAACATGGTACAGATAGAACAATACATCTGATAACAATCATTTTCAATTACTTAAATATACATACATTATTGTATTTGTATGAACATATCATTCATCACTGTACACTGTTTCTTCTTTATGTCTTTGTTCAAAACCAGCCAGTAATAATTGTGCGGCAAGTCTTGCTCGCATAGCTTCAGGGATATCATTCGGAGGATTAACCAGCAATGTTGATCGTCCTTCAATTATGGATTGTACAAAGAGGTAGACGAACACACCACAGTCAAAGCTGCAACATAGAGTGAGTTCATTAGACATTTTCGGTCCGTTCGAATACTATAACACAAATTTGAACAATATAGACATCGGAACTAACCGTCCTCTTTGTTGCTCGCATTTGATGGCTTGATATCTAAATATTTGGTGCACATTATCTTCAATAAAACCAGCATGATGTGCATTAAAGAAGTTTATGATTTTATTAACAGGCTCCATCCAAGCTTCGTGCCCAGCGGAGCTGTAATGCTTGACGACTTTATCTTTAAGGTCAACTTCTACAAGATGCCAATGGTCGTCCCTGACCAAAGGGATCAAGAGATGCTCTATGCGGAATGCTCTAATGTTTTATTTGTCAGTTCTAATCGCTATTTTGTTAGTTCTACTAGAGTTATTGCTGGTTCCACTATAGTTCCCATATTGTTAGTCCTAATTGTTATAAATTAGATATAACGTGGTATAAATTAGACAATGTAGGTATAAAATAGAACTAACAAGCCATCAGTTAGAACTGACACTAACACACTACAGATTAGAACTAACACTGTGCATATTAATAGAACTAACACGCTACAGAATAGAACTAACGTTCTACAGAATAGAACTAACACTGTGCAGACTAGAACTAACACTGTGCAGATTAGAACTAACACTGTGCAGATTAGAACTAACACTCTACAGAATAGAACTAACACTGTGCAGATTAGAACTAACACTCTACAGAATATAACTAACACTCTACAGAACGGAACTAACATGACTTATGGTAGGTCTAATTTTATGCTAACTAGAACTAACGTGACTCATGGTATAACTAGTATGGATTACACAAGATCTAACATGAATTTCAATCAAAACTAACGTGGTGAAATTAGGAATAGCATGTTCTTACAAGAAAGAACACCGATACCACTCCATATCCTTTGCCGTATGCCTCCTGGCTAATCGTGTCCAAAACTGCTTCTTCCACCTGTAATTGTTATGAAACATTAAAATTCAATTTAAACAATATAATTTGAATTATTAAGGAAGTATATGTTAACCTTGTCGTCAAGGCGGCCACCACGAAGCACATATAACAACTCTTCCCTGTTAATAGTGCTGTTGGTTGTTACTATAACATTATATCTCCTGGTATAAATTAGAACTAACATGAATTAGAACTAATATGTGGAGAATTAGCATATAAATAGTCATATGAAACTTACTTGTGAATCTTCTGAGAACAAAATTTGGTTAGGCTCTTAATTTCAGCTTTGTCGAGTCTTTCTGCTACGGGAGATGGTATCTTTAAATTATGTACAAAAGCACCTGTGCTATCTATTATGCGTAAGTTAAACAATGTAGGGTCTGGAAGCTCATTATTCAGCTCTCCCAATAGAGCTTCCTCTTCATCTGTCATTGGCTTGAAACTCAACGCATCAAAAGTGGGGATTTGAATACCGGGATAAAAATGAGTAACTTTTTCAGCTAGTTTTACTTTTCATTTAGATCTCCTGCTTACCCTTTTTGCCTTTGGTCTACGCTTTGCTTTCACATTGCTCGTTAGAACATCTACAAGTTTGTCCACATTATGTTCAATATTCACAAGATCCTCTTCCTCCTGTGCTTCCAACTTATCTACATTCTCCTTGCCTTTATCTACAATATCTTCCTCCTTATCTACACCATCAACAGTATCCTCATCAAAACCTTTGTTATCTACAATAAAATTTTCATTTTCCATATGCTCCTCTTCCTTGTCTACCATATACTCCTCTTCCTTATCTACCATACGCTCCTCTTCATTATCTACAATATCTTCCATATGCTCCTCTTCCTTATCTACCATATGCTCCTCTTCCATATCTACAATATGTTCCATATGCTCCTCTTCCATATCTACAATATGTTGCATATGCTCCTCTTCCTTATTTACACTATCATCAACCTTAGTATCTACAGTCTGGTCAACCTTACTATATACCCCCTCCCCTGGAGAAGTAACTGGCTCCTCTTCTATTGCCTCATCGTCAGCAAGATGCTTTACATCCTCTTCAACAATCTTATGTACATGTTCTTGACTGGTGGGCTCTTCCTTATATACACTGCTTGTTTTGGACTTCTGTTCCTCTTGAGCTCCCTGTCGCTTCTTCCTAATTTCATTTGCAATTTTCTGTTTGATATTTGACTTAAGCAGCACTGGGTCTATAACCTCATCATGTCTTCCACATTTTTCAATTATCCTGTTAAGCCTGTTGATCTCAATCATGAATTCTTTACAATATTTGCTCTTGGTCTGCTTTGTAGCAACAAGAAGTCGCTTGAGAAATTTAGCAGAATTTCTCCAAAATGTGAGTTGCTGCTCAATGGGAAGAACATTGATCTCCTCTTCATCGTCAAAAGCAACGTCAATATGCTTTGCCATGATCTGTTATTGATACAAGATTATAATTTTAAGTAGGATTAAACATAATTAGGATATTCTTTGCAGTTAGTGTGAAATGAGTACGACTTAACATAACAGGATACTTACGTAACCTATTGAGAAGTTCTTAGTAGTTTCTTCCTGCAAAGCCTTCCTCTTTGCCTGACGCTTTTGCTGAAGAACTTCATCCCTCTGTTCAGCGGGAAGTGAATGAACATGACCAGGAGAAGCGACCTCCGCAATAGGCCTATGGACAAATGTTATTGACGCTGACTTAGCCTTTGAAATAATTGTCGGCATCCTCATAGATGCGATTCTCTCCTCCCCTGATGCCCAATTTGTCATTGGAGGTCTGGAGGTGTCTAAGAGGGCATATTTCTTTATGCCTGTCATCTCGTAGTACCAAAGCTGTACCAAATAATATATTTACCATTAACATTTAATACTAGACTAGACCAAAGAGAATAAAATATGGCTGCATCTAGAACTAACATGGTGTAAATTAGAACAGAACAGAACATAACTAACACTCTACATAATAGAACTAATACTCTACAGAATAGAACTAACACTGAGCAGATTAGAACTAACACTCTACAGAATAGAACTAACACTATGCAGATTAGAACTAACACTCTACATAATAGAACTAACACTGTGCAGAATGGAACTAACACTCTACAGAATAGAACTAATACTGTGTTAGTTCTATTCTGTAGAGTGTTAGTTCTATTCTGCACAGTGTTAGTTCTATTCTGCACAGTGTTAATTCTATTCTGTAGAGTGTTAGTTCTAATCTGCACAGTGTTAGTTCTATTCTGTAGAGTGTTAGTTCTATTCTGCAGCGTGTTAGTTCTAATCTGTCTGTAGCGTGTGAGTTCTAATCTGCAGATTAGAACTAACACTCTACAGAACGGAACTAACACTGTGCAGATTAGAACTAACACGCTACAGAATATAACTAACATAGAATAAGTTAGAACTAACAATGCATAGGTACGAATTAGAATGAAACAAGATCAGTAAAATATGGAACTTACACACAATAGTGTCATGCAACCTGGGACATATGCGACCTTTTGCTTCTTTTTTCCCTCCAAAGCAACTCCAATGCCCCTGATAATTTCATTATAAAAGAACGGGGCTCATGCAACAGAATTGACCCTCTGAATGCTATCCAGGTACCTGAGTAAGGGTCTAGGGATACCTTCCCCTGCTATGGGACTCCATATCATAGAGCATTGGTACAAAATTTGTAGCAGAGCAAAATCCTCGATATCCCGCTTTTTGGTAGATTCAACAAGCCGTTCAAGTAGCCCTTCAAGATGTTTACGTTGGCTGGTTTCTGATTTTTTTAACTTCTTACCCTCTTCAGAAATGAAAAGCTTAGCGAAGTATTCCAGCCATATTCTGCTTCTTGAGTCCCTATTGTTCCTTATGTCCTCCCCATAAATTGGGAAATAAGTATGGTTGTGGACCCATTGCAAATCAAAACTAACATTTTTCATACCCCCACTTTTTGAATCAGGTATACAAAAGGTGTTATTATCTCTATCGAAAAAGCTCGGCAACAGCTCAAGGGTGGGCCGATCAGGCGCAGGAGCCCCAAACAAAATGTAGTGCTGAAATATAGAACCACAATATGCATCCCTATGCCACTGACGGATCTTCGGGGCAAGGCGCTTCATAAATGCCCAATAAGCCCCGATATTGGCCGTTAACCTTAGTGTTTCTGCTGAGCCTGTTAGAGCAATTTTTTTCCTGCAAAAAATTTTCGAATTTGTACGTTCAATAAGACATATGAAACAATATTAGACCTAGCACTAACGGGAACAAAATAGAGCTAACACGTAATATTATAGAACTAACATTGGACTCATATTAGAACTAACATTGGACTTAAACTAGATCTAACGTTGGTATAAATTTAGAACTAACATTGGACAAAGCCTAGAACTAACAATATTGGGTTAATCTGCATTGTCTGTTCGCAGTATAACATAACACTTACTGTTTTTTTGAGGGGGGTTCGTTGGTACGACCAGCCATTGTCGTCCTCCTTTTCTGGTCTCGCCATTGTAATGCCTCCTTTTGCATTTCGATTAGGGTTTTCGTAGCTTCCGTAGCTTCCTCCGTGCTGCCCCCCGCAGATGAAGCGCCTTTTCCTTCCAACTCGGCTCGGTGCCCGACCTCGTAGTCGTTACTGGATTCTTCCGTAGACGATATTTTTCCGGCGAAAACCCTAGAAACGTTGCAAGCCGTACAGAAATTAGGAAGATGAAGAGTTTTTGATGGCGGTGCTAGGTGGAAGAGAGAGAAAGAGAGGGAGAGTACTTGTAAAGGTGAGGGGCACATTAACCCAACTCAGTCCCATCAGAGGGCAAGATCGTAACTTCCTCTGGCTTTTTCTGAAAAAAAGTCAATTCGGGGCCTCGTCGCAAATACTATGCGTATTTGGGGCTATTCCACATGGGGCAAAGTACATGGGGGCTAGTCACACGAAGTTCCCACTTTTGGGGCCTGGACACATTTCCCCCCTTTTTTTACTCTTGTGATATAATTTTCCTTTCTTCGGTAGCATAAACTTGGGCTAAAGCAATAGAAGTGGAGCAGATAATCATTAATATCCCTGTCCTTTTTGAAACTAAACATGTGATTACAAATGCAAAATTACCTAACTCTAAAACTTTATTATAGTAACGGACCCGGGTCAAGATCCGATCCAAAAGTATTATCGTGGTCCCCACATAAAATGTACTAGTTTGCGGTACGTGCAAAGCACGGTTTTTTTTTTTTTTTTGCTACAGTAATCCCATTTTTTAATACAACATGCTTTGAATTTTTGAAAGTGCTACAGTATCCTGCTCTGCTACAGTACCTTTTAAATGCTACAGCATGCCCGTGTGCTACAGTAATGTTTTTAGTTAATTATTAGCTACAGTAATAATGCTGCAGTAAATGTTACTTTAGCATTTACTGTAGTATGAACAGAGAATCTCTGATCCTCCTATTTGTATAAAAGAATAGATTAGTTGGAGATGAGTCCAAAGGAAGAGGGAGCGGATCACTATTCGAGGTTGGTGAACCGTTCTTGATAGAATGCAGTTTTATTGTGATTTAACTAAACGGTTACAACAAAATAAAACAAATAAGCATAACAACGCTATTTGTCCTGATCGACGAAATTACCTCATCCAAGTTATCAAGCGAACGATGTGAGGTACAGCGGAAACGATCTTGCTTTGGTACGTACAACTCATTAACCAATAAAGTTTGAGCGACAAAATTACCCTTCGGCTGTACCGGCAAGCAAGATCCTGGGCTATTTGCACATCGCTACCTCACCATTTATCTCTTTTACATAGATATGGATCTTGCAATATATCAATCTTATACGGCTTAGTTATGAAAATTATATCGTTAAAATCACGTATGCGATGTTAGTAAAACTATGAAGGAGACAGAAATTCTGAGGCGTGAAACACTTTCCTTAAAGAAATATTTGCCCCCACTTGATATTCAAAGTTGCTTCGAGTTAATGCAAATTTTCTTCCCATGATACAACAGAAAATGAAAATCCCAGTAAGCAAATCTGGAATTTTCCTTAATTCGTTGTAAAAAAAGTTTGTAATATTGCAGAAGTTTTTGATAGAAAAGATTCAAAAAAGAATTGATTTTAGATATCTGAAATCATTAACTATTTATAGGTTTGAAGAGGTGCTTCCAACAGTCATAACTTTTGAAAACACCCCTTGGAGTAAACAGCCACTTTTCAAGTGGTCACTTGTCTTTTCATTTTTCGCGTTACCCGCACGCGGGTTTAGAAGCCTACACTTTGATCCATTATTCAAAGCCCAATAAGTATTCAATGCTTTTAAACCTCTAAAAGAATGTTCAAAATTCCAATGTGGGACTATCTTGTTTTTTACAAACAAATACTAACATGCGATATATAAAATCGATGTCTTAATGTCCGTCTCAAGAAATTTGATATATTGCAAGACACAAGTGACAAGTTTAGCAACAGATAGGTCAAAGATTTTATTCAAATTTAAGAAAAATTCTAGGCGCAATTTATAATCTATCCCATAGTGATATGACGCAGGGAAAAAGTAGAATTGATGTAATATTTAGGAATTAAATATTAAAGCAACATCATCATCTATATAAGCAAATATAAATAGATTCTGGTGTGAATAAAGCTTATATCAAACAATAACAATATTTAGTTGATTCGTAGTTGACGAGAAACACACACTAAGGATTTTTCTTTTTTCCCTTCAGCTGTATTATTATTATTATTATTATTATTTACTTTCTTGAAAGCTTGGATCCCATGAGTTTGTTAAGAAAAAAAGGAAAACTCTAGTGTTTGTTAATCAAAGTAATTTTATTGTAGTGTTTTTGTAGAAAAACATCATGTCATGATGTTTTTTTCAAATATGTTTTAAAAACATCATTTTTTGTTATTATTTATATAGCGGCGGCGGCGACGGCGGCGGGCGGCGACGACTTAGATGAAAAAACGGAATCTCAAAACACATTTTTGGTGTTTTGAGAAAAGTGTTTATTTTTTGGATTTTGTAAATGGTCAAGTCAAAAAAACGTCCCGATTACGAAACGTGTTTTATTGTTTAAAAAAAACAAAAACAGTTAAAACGCTACAGTTGACAAATGCTCTCTAATTTTAGGAGAGCATATATGTAATTCATCCAATATGGCCTGATGATGATGCAATAGTGAGAAGATACAGGACCACCAACCTTAAATATGAAGAGGGGGTAATACTGTCATTTCAAAATATTTCCAAAAGAGCTGCTCTCGTTGGCGGAGTTGACGAGAGGAAACCGTAACTCCTATTTCTTCACGACCCTGTCTCTTCTCTCTCTAAAAACCCCTCGTCTGCTCGAAGAGAGAGAGAGAGAGAGAGAGACTACGCCTAGAGAGAGGTACGAAATGGCGTCTTTAAAGATCAGCGCTCCGTCGAGCCAGTTCGCCGGAGCCCGCGGCCGTCTCGATGGCGCCTCCGCGGCGATCCGTCTGTGGCCGACCCGACGCGTGGCGATGCCTGTGAGGGCCGGATCGTACACCGACGAGCTTGTCCAGACCGCTGTAATTATTACAGACCCTAACCTAGCTCTTTATTTTCTTTATTCATCTTTAGCAGTGAAAGTTACTTTGATCTCGTTAATTTTGATCCTTGGGAATAAATATATGGATTCGTGCAAAAGATTGATTCTTTTCTGTGGTTTTCGACTATTGGATGATGGTAGATTCAGATCTGGAATGTTAGGATATGTAGTCAACGAGAAGAGTGTTTTCCCCCCCTTCTAATCTTTCTATTTGGGTGGAAAATGATTATTTACTATTTGTTTTATTGTGATTTATTCATTTTTAGTTGGGCCAATTTTATAAAGGCTAATTGCGAGCAGACCCCCTGTAGTATCACCCAGTAGCAAATAGACCCCTTGTAGTTCTGTTTTTGTGAATAGACCCCCTTATTAGTTTTTAACTTCTGAAATCGATAAAAAGGTTTGAGGAGGTGGGTAGACCCTCTGCAGTTCAATTGGTGAGGACAGACTCTCAATTGCTCTCTTTTTTATTTTAAAAGAGTAGAAAAAGTTCGCTAAGGGGTTGTATTCGCACCTGGGCCAATAACTATAGGGGTTCTATTTGCCAGAAGTACTGGAGGTCTGCTTGCAATTGGGTGATACTACAGGGGGTCTATTCGCAATTAACCCTTTTATAAACTACCAGGAACTAGCAGGTTTTTTGCACAAAAACACCTAAACCATTTTTATTAGAGGAAAATTATCATTACTTTTTAATATGCAGAAAAACGTCATATACTATGAAACACTACCCTTGGGATGTTAAAGGCGATGTCGAAAAGTCTAAAATGCCTGTAAAAGTGAAGAAGATGGATGGGGTGAAAGAGTGGTTATTTAAAGTGAATAAGGGGAAAATGTATAAAATATATCATGTGCATATCACATGGCAATTTACACTAACGTTTGTCATTCATGATAGGCTATTAAGGAAAGTTAAAAAAATAGTTTTTGCTAATTGCCAATTTGTGTGAAATGTTTGTAGTTTGTATTTGTTTTGTGAAATCCACCTTTTGTTTTTGTAGTTCCTTAATGATTGAAAGTAAGTCACATTGATTAGTATTTGTAATGGATTACCATTTTTTTATTACTGCAAAGAAACTTGAGTATGTTGGTCTCCTTGAAGTATGATTGAGTAGATATTTTAAGTTGCAAGATGTTTAATCATGTGGACTGGTTGATTAAATTGAAGTTCTGAATGATTCATTATCAACTAGTCCATATTAGCTAGTTTGGTGATACATAGTTTCTCAAGAATTTCATTGGAAAAAAGCAAGTGTTGAAAATTTTAATTTTACAAAAAGAATTGGCAGGCTATTAGCTCACCAAGGATACACCTACACTATAGCTAGATATACACGATGAGTACATTACAAATAATTGTTGGCATCATCACAGAATGAACAAATAAAGACATTGTTATTGAGATTTAATGTTCACACAGAAACTACAAGTGAATATTACAAATACAAACATGTCTTAGCTTTATTGTAAAGGGAAACTGTTATAAGACAAAGTAAATCTTATAGAAACCTTTAAGCCTGAGGAAATCATAATCAGTAGTAACTCCTCATATTCATTCGAGAATATCGTTTACTGAGAGACATGAATATGTGATTATTTATTTTGATGAATATTGTTTATTGAGGGAGACAAAATATTTATTTTGATGAATATTGTTTACTGAGAAAGGCAGAATTTTTTTAATTTCATTTATTTATCATTTGCCCACAGAGGGATATTTGATTATTAATTTTGATGAATATTGCTTTATGAGAGAGAATAATATTTGTTTATTTATTTTGATTCTTACTCAATTACTATTTTAAGTTAACATGCTACAATTGTAAGTTGGATGGAAAATGGCTTAGACAATGAGTACCGCTGTACCAAAGGGGTAAACCCTCTTGTAGACTCATACTGCTGCAAAAGTTTCTATGGCTTAATTTTTCTGCCTATTTAATCTGTAGAAAATTGTTGCTTCCCCTGGACGTGGAATCCTTGCAATTGATGAATCCAATGCTACATGTGGCAAACGGCTGGATTCCATTGGTCTGGATAATACAGAAACTAACCGTCAAGCTTATAGACAACTTTTGCTGACAACTCCTGGCTTGGGTGAGTACATCTCCGGTGCCATTCTTTTTGAAGAGACACTTTATCAGTCTACAACTGATGGAAAGAAGTTTGTGGATTGCTTGTGTGATCAGAACATTGTGCCTGGTATTAAAGTTGATAAGGTAATTACCTCTGTTATAAGTTGCTCTGTTTACTAGTTTGCCTTTCTGGGTTATGGTTACAGTGAGCAAAACTGCATTTTGAAGCATCTACATATAAATTTCATTGAGTAATATGTGTTTTAAGAAAAAAAGTCATATCATGAATCTACTTCTAATTTATCTTTTTCAGAGAGAAATGCTGTAGTACCACTCTTATTTATTTATTTACAGAAGTAGCATAATATAGCTGTTATTTTGTTCTTAATTTTAACCTTAAATGAGATATAGTCTTATAACTTTTCTATGAAACCTATTTATACGTCAAGCAATCTAAATTTTGCACAGTTTTTATTACATGCACAACACTGTTAAAATAATTTTTAAAGGTGTATGTAACTATTGACCAAGAAAAACACATGATGTTTTTTACTATCATTTATGTGAAGTTGAATTCTAGACACTATATTTATTGTTTTAGTGTTTCATTTATTTGGACGTTATGTAAGTGTTTAAAAATGAACCTTTCTTAAACACTATTCATTTTACTTTTCGTTAAATGTTTCACTGATTTGGATATCGTTTGGCTCGTTTGCTGCAATGATAGCAAACCTAAGACTAATATGTCCAATTTCTTTCTTTTTTTCTTTTTCTTTTTCCTTTTTTTGGTATATCCTAATTTGGTAACAATGCTTATGACATTGTGCAAGTCTTTAAAGAAGCTGCTAATTGCAATTGTGCACTCTTTTCTTTTCTCTCTAGGGATTGGTACCTCTACCAGGATCTAACAATGAATCTTGGTGCCAAGGATTGGATGGATTGGCCTCAAGGAGTGCTGAGTACTACAAGCAAGGGGCACGGTTTGCTAAGTGGTGAGCTTAGACTCTTACAGGAAATGTATCAGCTGTTGTTTTATTATGCATTATGTATTTATCCTTCTGTTTGACTTGTACAATCACCAAATTCTCTAGGCGAACGGTGGTTAGCATTCCTTGTGGTCCTTCTGCCCTGGCTGTTAAAGAGGCTGCATGGGGACTTGCTCGATATGCTGCAATTTCTCAGGTATTATTGGGTTCCCTTCAGATTCAAATTATTACAATTTATGAGGTCCTTTGAGACACTCTACCGTGTCTAAACATTGTCATATTGAAGTGCACACATCATTTCATAAAATTGGTTGAAACCTTTCAATTATATGGGATGACGGATCTCATGCTGACCCATTTTTAAATTTGAATTCTTTCACCCCAAATTCATTCATCTCTATCACGCCCAACCCCTGTTAAATTAACAGCAGCTATTTCATGTTTTTCCTTTGATCCATGTCAACTTTAGGTTTATTACTAGTCACTGGGGAAGATGATTTAAGTGAGACACCCTTGTTTTGGGCAAGCTCGTAGCACTTTATTAATCGGTCTGTCTTTGCTTTTAGTTCTAATGAGCAAAATTGACCTGCGTGATGCCGTGGCATTTGTGTGAAAAAGGCAAAAAAAAAAAAAAAGGTGATGTAAGCATTTGAATTGAAAATATACTGTGTATCTAACCGCTTAGAACAAAAATTAGCCAGTGACATAAAAATATAATAATTTGCAGTGTACATCGCACTGCTTTTACACTGCTAAAATACGATGTAGGTTGAAAGTTAATTCAGTGATGTATTTTCGGCTAAGAGATTTTCTTTAAAAGTGGGTGAGTTTAAAATAAATGTCGAACTTTGTATTTGCAGGCAAAACACCCATCGGCAGCTGTCAATGTTGTGATGTGATTGTGAAAAAGTAAATAAAATAGGTTACGCTTGTTGATGTTGTGACATGATTGTGAAAAAGTAAATAACAAATGTGATGGTTTAAGTGTTTTTATAAAAGGACATCATATATCTAACCACATAGAATAAAAACAAAGCAAATTACAACAGAATATAGAAACTTACACATGAATCCGAACTGCTAAAATACAAATTCAATTTAAAAATAGTTCGTTGAAGTACTTTGAGACTAATAGTGACTTTGGAAGTGCAGAGGTTTGAAAATAAGTGGAGGTAAAACTTTCTGTTATAGGCAAAAGTCCCTCTAAAAATGGCGAGTCTAAAAACAAGTGGAAACAAGATTTTGGGTTTATAGGTAAAAATAACAGTGATTTTGGAAGTGAATGAATTTAAAAATAAGTGAAGGCAAAACTCGATCCCTTTGTTTTTTGTAAGCCGATTTAAATATAACTTAGGTTATAACTTCAGGTTTATAAGCAAAATCCCATGTCTATTGTACTAATGAACAGTGAAACTCCTTTTCAGTTTTAGTCTATAGTATAATGTTAATGATACTGAAGATTATTTTTAATCTGTTCCACCTACAGTGAAGTTTTCTGGCATGTATCATCATGGTTAAGTTAGAAAGCTTGACTAGACTACTTCTCAATAATTGTATTATCTCGTTGTTATCACTCGTCTGAAAAGGTCATGTAAGATGGATAGGCTTTGAGATATTTCTTCTAACTGTTTCAATCTTGCAGGATAATGGTCTTGTGCCAATTGTGGAACCTGAGATTCTTCTTGATGGAGACCATTCAATTGATAGGACACTTGAGGTAGCAGAGAAAGTATGGGCAGAGGTTTTCTACTATTTGGCAGAAAATAATGTCGTGTTTGAGGGGATCTTATTGAAACCCAGCATGGTTACTCCTGGTGCTGAACACAAGGAGAAGGCATCTCCCGAGACCATCGCTGAATATACCCTTAAGATGCTAAACAGGAGGGTACCACCTGCAGTTCCTGGCATCATGGTATAACTCTTAAACTATGTGTTTCTTTTATAGTTTAAATATGAAAATAGTTCATACGAGCATACACCACATCAGATATTTGAGGAAATATATTAAAACAGATCACTTCAAGAAGAGTGAACTTTGTTTTTCTTTAGAGTGGATTTTCTACCTCATAAATTTACACGTGTTACACTTAGGATGCCTGGGAATATATTGGATAATGTAAACTCTGGCAATTCATTCACATTATTCACTCACGGTGTCATACCTGAAACTTATTTTCATGTCCCTCCCTTCAACACCAACACACACTCGTTCACTCCCACCCACCCACCAACCCACACAGAATATAAATACATGTCAAAGATAAAGACACTGGAAAAAAACAGAAAAGGAAAACTGAAACTAAACACTATGTGTAACCCCTTCAGAAACTGCTGCAGAATAGGTGAAGCTAATGCACAAAACAAACTTTGCCTGTAGCCCTTAACAAAATTAAGGTAAATTACTGACACCTCCTAATGCTTGCATAACTGACAGAAAACCTCGAGAGTTTTAAAAGTCAGAATTTGACTATTCGTGTCAATATTTTTGAAAAAACTTGGAAGGCAGAAATTATGACCATAGACTATGTCAACTGTGTGTACTCCCATTTAATCATGCACACATATGATGTTAAAATCTCAGGTATTTTCTACCATTCTTATCGACCAAGTGGGGATATTTTCCACATACAACTATTCCATATTTAGTGTTTCAATTGTAATTTAAAATATATGGTTATGGTTCTCATACTGACATATCAGTAGCAAAAGTGTGAAAGAAGACGATCATTTCCAACCTGAAGAGAGGTCAATATAATCATGATTATGACGACAAAAAGGAATTTAATCTGCCCATTGATCAAACTGGATAACCAGGTAAAAGATATTTAGGACACACCAGCTTTAAGGAGACGGACTATGTTTTTTTAGGGCAACTGCTGATACGCCCCTTTACTATAGGAGGTTAGCCAACTAGTATTGTTAGTTGCAGAAAGGGGGTGTGCGTTCAACACCTATTAGAGAATGTGGGGTCTCTCTGCATATTTTGGGACATCAGACTCACATGATGCACATGTGACAGGTACATATTACTGGAAAATAACTTCGTTTGGGAATAAAAGGGTCAAAGTGCTACCGGAAGAGTATAGGGATATGACTAACCCCTTTAGTCTCTGGGGATGTATTTGCAATTAACCCTTTTCTAAAATCATGACTGTCGTGCTTCCATTCCTCATCTTTACTGCTCTGTTGATAAGATAATCGTCACAGTGTGATAAACAAAGAAAAATCATTATCTTTGCAGTTTTTGTCTGGTGGCCAATCAGAAGTGGAAGCAACTCTAAACTTGAACGCCATGAACCAATCTCCTAACCCGTGGCATGTATCATTCTCATATGCACGTGCTCTCCAGAACTCAGTCCTGAAGACTTGGAAAGGCCTCCCGGAAAATATTGAGGCAGCTCAGAAGGCTCTGTTGGTTCGTGCCAAGGCCAACTCCATGGCCCAGCTTGGCCGCTACTCTGCTGAGGGTGAGGCTGAGGAGGCCAAGACCGGAATGTTCCAGAAGGGTTACACCTACTAAATATCGCGATGACAGTTTGAGATACTTTGATTACAAAGTAGTCAAAAATTGGTAAGTTCTTTTTTTCGGATTTCAAGGCTGGTATTTTGAAATAAGTAGCCGAATACAGGGAGGGAGATGAAACTTTTGCCTGCGGTTTTTGAAGATTAAGATGAGTTGTGTAATATTCATCAGTCGTACTCTATTAAAATCCGTCCGATTGGGTTTTCAAGTCTCAAGGAACCAGTTAAAGATAATATGGTTGTAAACAATATCCTAAACTATTTTATATCTTGATAAGATTTTCCTTTTGATTGTTTTGTCTTAGTGTCTTGAAAAAGTAATGAATGCACGGAGATGAAAACTTTTACCTGCATTATTTGATTGAGTTGGCTTTTGAAGTTCTCTTAGGAATCTAACTGTTAGTAAAATGACTGGCAGGCTCATCCGTTTCTTTTGCTATGGCAACTTCTTGTGAGGTATATTACTGATGAAATTTTGTTCAACTGTATATCAACCTAAATCCACTAGTGGATGTGACAGTTGTTAGATGGTTGAGATCAGAGTGAATCACTTCCTGAAACTCCCTGAACACTGGCATGCAATGTTCTTACAGTCTCGTTTATCTGATATTTTTATTTTAGTTTATTTTTGTATTGCTACCTAAGGCTAGGGGATTATGCCTTAACCAGAAAATTGTGCTCTAGACCTATTCTCTCTGTAGCTTTTTTTTTTCTTGGGTGGTTCAGAAAACTCAAGGGTCGCTGTTTTTGATGACAAAATCATGGTAGATTTCTCGAAGAGAAATGGTTATTTGCTTTTTCCTACTTTAAAACGCTTTGCATTTGTGGAGGCACCCCCTTGCAGAATTCAGAAGAAAAAAGAGTTTCTCGTTCCTCTTTCCAAGCTTCATTTGCCAACAGGAAGAGGAATCAAGAGGTTACTCTCTTAAAATCCACGCTTACATTAATAGGTGAGGGTCTTTCACTCTCAATCGGCGGTTGATAATTATACGAATCATCCAGAGAAAATATAAGCGTCGTATGCTTTGCGTGTAAGATATTTTAAGGCCCGCTTTCCAAAGTTGAAAAAAATAATAAAAGTTACCTCGGTGAAGCAATAAATTTATAATGATACTCTAAATGCAACTTTCAGTATTTCAGTAATAAAAACCTTTTCCTGAAGCCATTTTGCGCAGCAACGTTCAATATGCAAAAGTTTCCGTCCAAATTGTCTTTTAGAATTTACAACTGCAATTGCAATTTTTCTCCTAACCGAACAGCCCACGTATATACTAACAAGAAAATAAAGATATATTTTGCCTGTTTCATTATTCCTTTTCATATAACAGATAATCTCAGCTCCCTCTATGAGAATGATAACTAGCACAAAGGGGCAAAAAAATGTTGAAATTGAAGCCTGGTATAAAATTTCTCTGAAAACTAAAATGAAATAGTTTGTATTACAGAAAATTAAGAACTGAGCCCACAGAGTACCTATTTGAAGTAAACAAATGTAACAATATTAACTGGTATAAAATTTCTCTGAAAACTAAAATGAAATAGTTTGTGTTACAGAAAATTAAGAACTGAACCAACAGAGTACCTATTTGAAGTAAACAAATGTAACAATATTAACTTTGCTACAAGATACTGCACCGTTTCAACAACTCCGTGAGATGAACAGCTCAAGGTTCAGATTTTCCAGAAATTTACCACAATCATGATTTAGAATTACCACGCGCATCCTTGATACTCTGGAAATGGAAAATAATAACATTAGTTATTGAGCATTAACATCATAAGGATTTCTCAACACGGTGAAGTTTTACAAACCAATCGCTTGAAGGAATTTCCTCGGAGCACTTTCTTTGTCTCCATGTCTGGTTTTGCACGGTCCAGGGCCTGATACGCACAACCATATATAAATTTCTGAGAATGGTTAAAAGGGAGAAGCATTCAAGAATATTGAGTGACTGGAAAATATTGATCAAATTCAAGGAAGAATTACATAGGGAGATATTTATGGTGTTACCAATCTGCTCGATCATTGTAGGTGTTCATTCTGGAAACTTTAGAACTATGGCAAGGATGAGAATTTTAAGAGCAAAGTCACTGTTTTGTTTCAAGTTCAACATAAAACTGAATATAACAGAAAGGGCTGGCATTGAGAAACTATGTAACTCAATTAATTGTTATACTGATGAAGATTGAAAGACCATAAATGTATACATTTCCTTCATTATGTGACAGTTTTAAGAAAATAAAGTGGGTCCCCCTGTCTTCTCAAATGACGTAGTGGACTACCTATCAAAAGGAGCGTCGGAAGTGAGCAAGTTCTATAAGGTGTAGGAGAACTTCACTTTTGGGCCTTGCCAGTTTCAGAAAACACCAGTAAGTTCATTATTTTGACCATCTTTCACAACATGGCAAGGTAATTTTCCAAAACAACGGGAGAAACTGAGAAAGATAAACATTCAAACAACGAAAGCTTGCCGTATCAAAATATGTGTTAATACTCACTATATTATCCTAACATATTAAGTGTATCAGAGCGCACATTAAATGAAAGTTTCAACTTTTGCAACATCATAAAAATATACTCTCAAGTCTTAAACAACTAACCTAATGATTTATGCAAGTTCCCAATTTGTCTTGCATGTAGATTGAAAACATTAGAAGCTTGAAAGCAACACAGAATCATCACATAGCTCAGGGAATAGAAAGTATCACCTCAATGAGAGACTCCACACGGCGCCTCATTCTAGTATGCATGAAACCTTCAGAGCACTGTGAAAAGTGGAGAGTGATGTTTAAACACTGTGAATGCACAACCTTTAAAGCAACTGTGACCAGAAATATATATATACATTGGTACAAACTTCATAAGCAGTCATGTAAATCACTTAAACATGGTACTATTAACATCACAGAATTAAACAGCACTATTTGCCAACAAATGGTATGCCCAGACTAGACGTCATACATCATCAACATGGTGATTAAAAACATTGGACATGCCCTGAGAAAATTTGATGCAGGTACAGTAGAGAAAATGCAGGTTTAGGTATAATTGGTACATGTAAAGCTTATGATACACGTAAAGCAACAAGATGAGGGGTGTGAAAGGGTTAAAAACAAGATAAGGGGCGTGAAAGAGCTAAAATATATGCTACTAAGAATGGCTAGTAGAGAGGTTAAGAAGAGAACATTAAGACAAACAGAAGAAGTTACAAGCATAGAAAGTTTGATAACGTGAACTATTAGACAAGAAACATGTAGCGTGGATTATGAAAGATTGTTGAACGCATGAGGTGTAGTATGGAATTTGCAAAAATATAAGAATCTCTTTTAATCTAACGCTTTAAAATGAACAAAGAAAAAAGTAATTTCTTCTTTTTGTTAACTTTTGGAATGAGCGGATTTCTAAATCTAAAATCAACAGCAACAAGTAGAAAACAATGAAATCACATCCTTGGCCCCCTGGATGCACCAATGAGAATTCAACATGCTGATTGGTACCATTCGAGCAGGTGTTCCATGAAGGAATGCGACCATGTACTAAGCCCAAGGGCACTGTGGCCCTTGCGGGATGGGGACTGATGCAGGCTTCTTCTAGACTTAAAGCCAGGAGAGAATTTTTGAGCAAGCTGGAATGTCCAACTAATATTGAAGTCTCATAACAGACAAGTGCTACGACTAGTATATAGATTTCTTTGTTGGACTGTAACAGCCAATCCTATCTTGTAAAATAATCAGATAAAAACTGGCACCCAGAATATAAGACCAAACTCACTTTTACATGATAACTGACATACGCATGAAATGTCGAGAGACTCCATGCAGTTCTGTCCAGTTTACGGCCTTCAACATGGCGAGGAAAAATTACTGCAAACATGCTTCACATAAGAAATCAGGGTATACGAGGGAAGGAAACTAAAACCAAGTTCTCAGGAAATACCAAAAGTGACAAATCCCGCATTTGCCTCTAGTGCTTCGGCAGGAGCTTCTTTCAACTCCAAAGGGGGAGTTGGAGACCATGTACACAGAGGAGCACTATTCAGTCCTGGTGTGCGTCGTGCCTCCACAAATTCCTGAAACCAAATTTAACATCTTTAAAGCAGCAGTTCTTAGATTTTTTTTCCACATTACCCAGATAAGACCCCAGAAAGGTTCCAAGGAAGGAGTTTAACACCAGAAACAACAAAGAATAACAAATAGATTTAAGGCCTCAGATGGATGGAAAGATTATTACGTGTATCACGAAGCACAAAGCACAGGAATTTTTGGCAACATCCAGTATAATAAAAATATACACCTCCATTACAAAATCATGCATGAGAAATATTGGAACAACTAACTTTGATAATTCAATAACTCATGGGTCATGGCCTGATGATTTTGACCCTTCCAAGCGAGATAAGCAATCATAGATCTCGAAAAAATGCATGACTTAAAAGCAGAAGGATATTGCTAAAGCAGTATCGATGGAATCTTTGAACCTCATAGGATAGAGAACAGTTACTTTGTCAGGCTGCCATAAGAAAAGGCAAGAAGTCAAATAGGATAAGTACATCAAAATAATTGACAAGTCACGACAACATAGAAACTATAATCTCCAGAAAACAGTTTCAGAATTCAGATTTGAATCTTTTAAGAAATATCTTGCAAACGTTACATATAAATTAATGAAACTAAAGCAAAGGAATCACAGTTCTCGATAAGCTAGCAAGATTAATCCAGTAAAGGTAAAACATTAAACTAACCATACATAGTTAAACTGTGTAGTTATTGATAAAACAAATAACTAAGTTCTTTGTAAGTTATGGTTAGAAAGATTAATCCTCATTTTCCATCTCTCACTCATTCCTCATTATTTATCTTTTTCCTTTTATAACTCCCCAATCCTACACATATCGATGTATAGCATTTGTTGCCTGGGCTTGCAGCCCTATGAATACTTACGCAGCCAGGTGCTAGACAAGTTTCCACAGAGTATGCATAGTTCTGCAGCTAAAACTGTTACATATCTTTGAGGTAGTGCTAAATGCATACATGCACTTACATCAACACAATGCATACAACAGCCTAACATTGACAAAATCTCAAAATCTGAAGCTCATCTTAAATGCATCTAAAGTGCATAGGCACACTATTAACTGAGCAGAAAAATGAAACTATAACACCGGGACAAACAGAATTCATATACAACCTGAAGTAGCAAGGAATGGCAATTATGGAGGAAGTGAAGCATAGATATTTACATATGTACATACGTATGCACGTGTGCACACCCACATCCACACGCGCACACGCACATAAATAATATATGGTAACTTTCACAAGACCTCTCAAAGGTTTGGCCCATTTTGAGAACCCCCCAAACTACTGAAAATGTCACAAAACACCAACAAGTTTGGGGTATGTCACAAACTCCCTAACATTTTACACATAAGTAATATCTGATAACTTTCACAAAAATCCCCCAAACGTTTGGCCCATTTTGAGATAACCCCCAAACTACTGAAAATGTCGCAAAACACCAACAATTTTGGGATTATGTCACAAACTCCCCCTAACTTTTTACATTTTGTCTATGTATCCCTCAAACGGTGTTAGATAAACAGGTAAAAAGACCACAATACCCATATCAAATTAACACTCAAATTATTAACTTAATAGCTCTAATTAAATTTTAACCCCAAATTTAATTTTAATTAAAGGAGAGGGATGCGGGGTAGGATGGAGAGGCAGCGAAGGAAAGACCGTCATCGACGATCAGGGGTGGGTGGGAGGGGGGTTGCTGACCTGTCAAGTTTGGGGAAGAGATGGAGAGGGGGTAGTATGGTTGGGGAGATGTACATGCAATATTGGAAGGAGTTGAGGTGCAGTGGCGGACCCACATTAGGGCCAAGGGGGCCTTGGACCCACCTTAAAATAGTAATAAAAACATGAAAACATAGCTCGTTTGCTAATAGTAAGTTTATACATCGTGGAATGCATTGGACACCTCAGCTATCTCAACCTTAATCCTCTACATTCCTCTTTGCGATATTAGTCCCCCAAATCTTTCAAGTTTGAAAATTAGTCCTTCAAATCTTCATATTTTGAAATTAGTCCCTCAAATATTGGAAGTGATTTAAAGGAGTATTCCACCCAAAATCAAATAAATGCTAATTAGGGAGACTAATTTCAAAATATTTATAGGAGCTGTCGGAATAATTTCAATTTTCAATGATTTTACAGCACTAATATCAAAATATTAAAGATTTGAGGGACTGATATCGAAACATGCGAGTTGCAAACTGCGCCCATGAGATATACCTAGCAACTCACTTTCTCTCTTCGCCCTCAAAACTCGGTTCCTCTCTTAGCCCTCACTCTCACTTCCTCAAAAATTGAAAGAGAGATGAGTATATGAATAACTATTTGGTGTCCAATATTAAAAAGAAATATTTTGTAACATTGATGAGGAAGATGAAAATAAAAAGGTTTCGAGAATTGAAAACAAGAAGAATGTTATTGTGAACACTATAATCTAATTTAAATTATGATTTTAAAAGTCTCATTGTGGAAGGATGTTTTTATGTTAAATCATACAAAAAATTATGTTATTGTGTCTAATTATTTTGAAACCCCTTGCTGAAATTCCCTGCTGCGCCACTGTTGAGGTGTAAAGCTTAAAAAAACTTTATTAGAAGGATAGTGAGGGTTTCTTTTGTAATGAGGAGTATTTTCATCATTTATCCTCACGTGTTATGCACATAGGCTATGAAACATAATGTTGTTAGACTAGAGGGTTTTCTGCCAAAACTTTTTTGGTGTTTTGTAACATTTTCCAAGAGTTTGGGTTATCTCAAATTGGCCAAAGTTTCAGGAGGTTATTTGAAATTTGCCCATATGGGTGCGCACGTGCGCACATCTATTGTGTGTGTGCGTGGAAAATATATATGTAGACATATACTGAAATACATACATACAAAAGGAAATGTCTGATTGATATAATATGATATGTTCCAGTGGGTGTCTGTACCTGAGGAATGAGGAAAAAAGATTCCATGGGTCGATGGACAAGAGCTATGAGTTGCCCTTCATCCGGAGGGAGTGTCCTCAAGGCAAGTTGCTTTAAGATCAATCTTAGTGGAGCGCCCAGAACAACATCTCTAACTGATGCAATCTTGATCAAAGCAATGTTTCGTTTATCTACACGAACAAAATTTTCAAAAACATTAAACGTAATGGATACCAACTCATCAAGAAGAACAAAAGAAAAAACAAAGAAACGTTTCATCTAGCTTAAAACCTATGTTACCCGAGTAGTTCTATCATGAAGCCATACCCATGTCTGACACGTACCCATAACCAAACTTCATGGACACTCCCTGGATATGTGCATACATTTATTCAGACAAGTACTTGATATATGCTTTAATTTAAAACATTTGTCAAAGACTTCTTGGACGTATATCATACACGTCACATCCATTTATTGAAACTCGTTGGACATGTTTCGAGTTCGTTTCAGCCCATACCAAGGTTAAAAACTATGATTTTGAAGGCTTGTTACGTTGTCAAATTTACAATTTATAATAATTAACATAATAAAAGAAACTTTAAAATGTTATAGGAATTTTAATGCTAATAACAAATGAATTGAAAAACAATAGTGATCTCGTGTAAATAAATAATTTCAATGTATACATATGAAGTCGTGTCCTCGTACCCTACATTTTACAGTTTTGTCGTCCCCAGTACCCATACCTGCACCCGTACCCGCACCTGTTTCCACGTTACTTAGCTTAACACAGCCTATATAATTAGCAAATGAGAAAAATATATGAGCATACGAACATAAGATGAATATATAATTATTAAATAAAAAAAGTTGTAGGGTAAATTAATAAGCTTTAGATATTTTGTAAAAATATATGAGCATACAAAGATACGATGAATATAAAATATATTTGTGTTAATATATCCCACAGTCAACGAACTCGAAACTTTCTATCTCTTTTCTCAGCCAGATCACATGATATCCAATGAAATTCAGAAACATAGAGCAAATAAACATTGTGCATCAAAAGAAGTTCCTAGCTGAAGCATTCGAAATAACTTTTAATAGGGGATCTACACTAAAACAGGCTAGATAATGATCCAAAAACAAATGCCAATCCTCCATGTACAAAATCTACCTGCTTGTGCATTATAGAAATTCTAATATCACCTCCAGTAAAAAATAGGCCAACAATCCACTCAGCACTCAATTCTTCTAAAACTAAAAATAATATGCAAAAAAGAAATATACCACATCAGCCCCTCTTTTCAACATCCATATAATGCAGTGTCCTCTTTAGCTTTGCCTGACACGATTATGAATCGAGTAGCTTTAAGCCTTGATTTTCTAAGTTCCTCAACAATTTTGGTCTATCAAAGAACAAATTCAGAGCATTTATTTATAAACAAAATAATGGCTGCAAAATGTTATGCTTAAGAAATAAATATAAAACAATCTGTATGTAAAATTTGGTAATTCACTCATTGTGTAAGATTATTGTAGTTTAGATTTTTGTAGTTTAGGAGAACTCAGGGCAGTTGCTTCATGCCAAGCATTTGAACTACTCTCCCAACCCGCAAACCAGCTTTTAGATTTATTCTAACAGTTTTTATCTTCAACTTCTTCTACCTTAGCAATCAAAATTCTTACCTATTATTCCTATAGAAGTGCATGTTTTTGCAGACTTCCCAACTACTTCACAAGCTTAGAAAGTCATAGGTAAGTTGGGCATCTGCTAAAAGCCTAAAAGCACCATTTTTATAGATAAAAATCAACTTATGTAAGTCCGAGTTTGGTATATTCATGTCTTGACTCTTAGCTCACACCTATAATCACATAGAAGAGCTTACTACAACTTTTTGCTATACAAGCAATCTAATCAATCAAAACTACTCATATCTCAGGCCTTTAATAGGCTTGTACATTCAAAACTCTTAAAACTAAGAGCAAAACTTCTATATTGCATTTAGTTCTGATCTAGCAAATTTCCCTAGTCTAATAAGGTAAGAGGTGGTCATTAATAGGTATAGGATGCTTTACTCATAAAAATAAGTACAAGGTGCTCCAAATTGACGATCCAGCAACCAATGATAAACCTAAACCACTAGACAAACTTCTTAAAACTATATACCATACAAACAATATGTTGCTCGGAAGTTATACTATTTCGGATGAGTTTTGTCACTTTTGTGGGAACAAATTTGGTTGCTCTGTGCTTCTGTTATGCCTCGAAGATCGCCGCACTTTTCTATAAAATAATCAAACCTGCAAAATAACGATCTGATAATGCATATCCTTGGACGGAGCATAATGTGTGATCCAAATTATAAGCTGCATGGTAAATCACACATGATCCATGTAATTATGCAACAATATGCCACTCAAAAGTTATAGTAGTTAGAAGTTCTAATCTAAGTTTTGTCACTTGTCAAAATGCACTTTCTGTTGCTCTTTGCTTATGTTATACCTCG